CTGCCTCACAGTGCTCTCCGCCTGCCTTTTAAAGGCTTCATTGGAGGCCAGCAGTGTGGCCTGCCGTGAGATGAGAGTCACCAGGCGTCTAAACAGGAAGGACAACAGCAAGGAAAAGGCCCAGATTCCTCTGGGCACGGAAAAGCTTCATGTGGACGTGTTCCCTGGCCCCAGGATTGTTCTGGACGTTCACCTTTTCGGTCACATCATCGTACTTTTGAATCTCGCGCACGGCATCGATGACCAACAGCACAAGGATGGCAATGAGAACCACAAAGAAGGTGTTGCCATAGGATGCTACCAACTCCACCAGCTGGGACTTGAACGTTTTCTGCCATCTTTTAGGAGAAATGAAAGGAATGCAGAAAAGCAACACAATAAAGACCTCCGCATAGAGGAAGGTGGCAGCTGCAGTCTGCTGCAGACTCATCCTGTTGCTAGAAGGTTCCCCACAGGGGCATGTGAGCTTGTTTCCCCGCGGCTGGAAACCGGAAGCCACCCTGCCCCTTTTTTTTTTTTTTTTTGAGACGGAGTTTTGCTCTTGTTGCCCAGGCTGGAGTGCAGTGGCACATTCTTGGCTCACCGCAACCTCCACCTCCTGTCTCAGCCTCCCATGTAGCTGGGATTACAGGCACGGCCACCATGTCCAGCTAATTTTTTGAATTTTTCGTAGAGACGGGATTTCACCATGTTGGTCAGGACGGTCTCAATCTCTTGACCTCATGATCCGCCTGCCTCGGCCTCCCAAAGTGCTGGGATTACAGGTGTGAGCCACCGCGCCTGGCCTTCTCTCCCTTTTTCTTACCTCCCCCATCCCCTCATTCTGTTTGTCCCCACATCTTCAGTTAGATGCAGACGTTTGTGCCCCCTTATTCAGGCCAAAGGAGCGTATTTCCTAAACACAAGGACAGTCTCTTAAATAACCACAATACAATTATCACGTAGTAGAAATTTAACGCTGAAACAGTCATGACCCAGCAGCGTTGCTTCTCATTTCGTTGTTCCATCTCTTAACACTCTCTAACACTTCCTCCTTGGGTTCTCAATGTTAGTCATGCTGTGGATAGTTCTGAAGAGTAGGATGTCGTGAGGGGTGATATAGTTTCCTTCCCTCAGGTGGGCTTTGACTCACAGTGACACTCAGGCACACATTCTGCAGGAGAACCACACTGGCTTGTGCACTCCCCAGTGCAGCACGTCTAGAGGCATTGAAGGTGGCGTGTCCTGCATGGGTCATGTCAGCTCTGATCACTGGGACACGTGGGCAATTTATGTATAATGATTCCAGAGGTGAGGCCAAGGTGGTGGAAACACTTGAGCTCAGGAGCTCCCGACCAGCCTGCCAACATAGTGAAACCCCATCTCTACTAAAAATACAAAAAAAAAGGAGCTGGTCATGGTGGTGAATGGCTATAGTCTCAGCTACTCAGGGGACTGAGGCACAAAAATCGTTTGAACTTGGAAAACAGAGGTTGCAGTGACCCAAGATTGTACCACTGCACTTCAGCCTGAGCGACAGAGCAAGAGCATGTCTCGAAAGAAAAAAAGAAAATCATTCCTTCCCAGCCCTGTTGTGGGTTCCTGGCCCCAACACCCAGGGAAACCATCTGACAGTAACTGGTAGTTTTCCAGAAAGGTAGGCAGATGCAAGATAGGTTTTAAAAATTATTCTGAGCCGGGCGCGGTGGCTCAAGCCGGTAATCCCAGCACTTTGGGAGGCCGAGGCAGGTGGATCACGAGGTCAAGAGATCGAGACCATCCTGGTCAACATGGTGAAACTCCGTCTCTACTAAAAATACAAAACATTAGCTGGGCATGGTGGCACGTGCCTGTAATCCCAGCTACTCGGGAGGCTGAGGCAGGAGAATTGCCTGAACCCAGGAGGCGGAGGTTGCGGTGAGCCGAGATCGCGCCATTGCACTCCAGCCTGGGTAACAAGAGCGAAACTCCATCTAAAAAAAAAAAAAAAAAAAAAGTCCTATGAGTTACTTTTCTTTTTTCTGCAAAAATTTTATTTTGTGGTCCTTGCCAATTATTTAAAGGACTGCCTTATTTTCCTGGTTCCCTAGTATTATATGGATATACCATCATTTTAAAAATGAAAATTAGGCCAGACATGGCTCACATTGGTAATCCCAGCACTGTGGGAGGCTGAGGTTGGAAAAGTGCTTGAGCCCAAGCGTTTGAGACCAGCTTGGGTAACAGCAAGACCCCATCTCTACAAAAAATAAAAAAATTAGCCAGGCGTGGTGGCTCACACATGTAATCCCAGCTACTTGGGAGGCTGAGCAGGAGGATTGCTCGAGCCCAGGAGATTGAAGCTGCAGTGAGCTGTGACTGTGCCACTGCAGTCCAGCCTGGGCAACACAGCAAGACCCTGTGTAAAACAAGGTAAAGATAAAAATAGAAATTAGATTTTGACACATCCACATGGTCCATGATTTAAAGTATATGAAAAATATCTCCCTGCCACACCCAACCCCAGAGTCCACGTCCCTCCTGAGAAGCAGCTAACCTGACCTCCCAGACATCCTGCGCTTGGTAGCAATCTGGTACGCTTTAAAATCTCTGCATTGAAGGGTGAGCATGCTGGTACCTTCATGGACATTGCCCAGCAGCCCACCACGGGGGTGGATGTGCAGCTGCCCCAGCTCTAAGTAGGAAGGCCTATTTTTGCACATCCGTGGCCACCCAGCGAGGCAGCTACCATTGGATTCTGCCTAACAAGATAGGATGAGGTGGACCCAAAAGCGGAAATTACAAAGCAGAGTGTGTCCTGGAGCCTGCACCTGGGGTAGTCTGTCTCCTTTCTCCTCTCCTATCTGTACATGTTGCTGTGGGCTCCATGCCCCACTCCCCTAGTGCTGTGGTCTGAATGTTTTTGTGTTCTCCTTCGCACAAATTTCCCATGTTGAAATGCTAGCCCCCAAGCTGCTGGCATTAAGAGGTAGGACATTAGGGAGATGATCAGGTTAGAAGGACAAATCCCTCATAAATGGATTGGTGCCTTTATCAAGGAGGCCTCAGAGAGCGGCCCTGCCCCTTCCACCATGTGGGAACACAATGAAATGATGGCCATCTGTGGAGCGAGAAAGTGAGCCCTCACCAGAACCTGACCCTGCTGCTATCAGCTGGGGACTTCCCGGCCTCCAGAACTGTAAGACACATGTTTGTTGTTTACGAGTCCCAGTCTGCAGTATTCGGTTATAGCAGCCCAAATGGATTAAGACAGAAAATTGACACCAATAATTTGGGGTGCTACTCTGACAAATACCTACAACGTGGAAGAAGCTTGGGAATTAGGTAATGGGTAGAGGCTGGAAGGGTTTTGAAGTGCAGGGTAGAAAACCCTGTTTTGCCTTGAACAGACAACTTTTTTATTTTAGCTTTTGAGATGGAGTCCTGCTCTGTCGCCCAGGCTGGAGTGCAGTGACGCAATCTCTGTTCACTGCAGCCTCTGCCTCCTGGGCTCAAGTGAGTCTCCTGCTTCCACCTCCTGAGTAGCTGGAATTACAAGCATGCACCACCACATTTCTGTATTTTTAGTGGAGACAGAGTTATGCCACGTTAGCTACACTGGTCTCAAACTCCTGACCTCAGGTCATCTGCCAGCCTTGGCCTCCCAGAGTGCTGGGATTACAGGCATGAGCCATTGCACCCAGTCCATGAACAGACTGTTACAGGTGATTCTGGAGAGACTCCAAAAGAAAAGAGGAGATTTGAAATCCTCAGCTTTTTTTTTTTTTTTTTGAGACAGAGTCTCGGTCTGTTGCCCAGGCTGGAGTGCAGTGGTGCAATCTCAGCTCACTGCAACCTCCAGTCCCTGGGGTTCAAGCTATTCTCCTGCAGTAGCTGGGATTACAGGCACCCACCACCACACCCAGCTAATTTTTCTATTTTTGGTAGAGATGAGGTTTCACCATCTTGGCCACGCTGGTCTCAAACTCCTGACCCCAGATGATCTGCCTGCCCTCGGCCTCCCAAAGTGCCGGAATTACAGATGTGAGCCACTGTGCCCAGCCTCACCACTATATTTTGAAGGCACATAACTTGTTTGATTTCACAGGTTCGCAACTGGAGAGAAATTTGTCTCAGGTAGAATTGTGCCTTGAGTCTCACCCATAACTGAATTAGATGTTATTTATTGATTTATTTATTTATTTTTGACGGAATTTCGCTCTTGTTACCCAGGCTGGAGTGCAATGGCGCGATCTCGGCTCACCGCAACCTCCGCCTCCTGGGTTCAGGCAATTCTCCTGCCTCAGCCTCCTGAGTAGCTGGGATTACAGGCACGTGCCACCATGCCCAGCTAATTTTTTGTATTTTGAGTAGAGACGGGGTTTCACCATGTTGACCAGGATGGTCTCGATCTCTTGACCTCGCGATCCACCCGCCTCGGCCTCCCAGAGTGCTGGGATGACAGGCGTGATCCGCTGCGCCCGGCCTGAGATGTTATTTAGATGAGATGTTGAACTTCGGACTTTTGAGTTGATGCTGGAATGAATTAAGACTTCAGGGGTTATTGGGATGAAATGAATTTGTTTTGCCTGTCAGAAGGATATGAATCTAGGGGAACCGGGGCAGAATGCTATGGTTTGAGTGTTTATATCTCCCCAAAGTTTGTGTTGAAATTGTAATCCCCAGATGATGGTATTAGGAAATGGAGCCTTTTGGGGAGGTGATCAGGTGAAAAGGGCAAAGCCCTCATAAGTGGGATTAGTGCCCTCATGAAAGAGGCCCCAGAGAACTCCCCTGCCCTTTCCATCATGTGACGACACAAAAGGTGCCTGTCTCTGAACCAAGAAGTAGGCCCTCACCAGACACCCCACCTTCTGGTGCCTGGATCTTGGAATTCCAGCCTCCAGAACTGCGAGAAACAGATTTCTGTTTTGTATAAGCTGCCCGTCCTATGGTATTTTGTTATCACAGCCTGAATGGACTAAGACTAAGACACCAGCTTGTCCCTGGACTGAGGCATCCCTGTTCTACTGTGGTTTCAGAACCGGGTTTCTCCATTCAAGGACATGATTTTATGCTTCTCTGAAGAGGATTGGTCCCTTCTAGATCCTGCCCAGACTGGCTTCTACGGAGAGTTCATCATTGGGGAGGATTGCGGGGTCTCAATGCCTCCAAGTAAGACATAACTTCCCCCAATACCTCAAGACCAGGGAACTGGGCGGGGGGCTCACTTTGAGTAAGAGTCAGCTTCCTCCCATAAGGTCAGGGAAGCGGGGGTTGCATCAGATCTCTCTGTTCACACCCAGCCTTGAGGGGAGGTCATTTGCACAGAGCAGGCCTACAGGCAGTTTGTCTGGTTGACCATCACCTGCCATCTCACATCAGGCTTACCAGGCTATTTGTCACACAGAACCAAATAGAACATGTGCTGTATGTTCATTTCCGTCCATTGCTCTTACCCTTTCGTCCCTTTATGTCTGCTTTACACCTGACAAGCCTCAAGAGAGACACCCCAAGCCCATAGCTCTCCCCACCAAGTGTTCCCCCCACTGCCCCTGTGCTGCCTGCTCTGGCCTTTTCACTTCTCACCCTGATGGTGCCATGCCCGTTGGGCATCCCTCCACCTTCTCTCTTCTGGACCAGTCCTGGTTGCTGCAGGAGCAGATTACTAATAAACATTCACCCTGCGTTTTTCTTTGAATAGACGACCTAGCTGCCCAGCCAGATCTCTCCCAGGGAGAGGAGAATGAGCCGCGCGTTCCAGAGTTGCAGGATCTCCAGGGGAAAGAAGTGCCCCAGGTCTCCCACTTGGGTGAGTAATGATTCCAGAACTAAGGGCACAGAGGAGGGTGAAGGGTTGCTGGCAGCAGAGGCGAGCCCACTCCCTGGCTTCTCTGCAGCTCCAGATTGCCTTCTCGATTTCCCCAGACTGTCTGGGTCTTGCATGTCTTGCCTTGTCTCTGACTTTTCATAGAAAGAATGGGGGATCTTAACTTTGCCCAGCATTGGGATTGTACTCCCTCTGCCAAGGACTGGGAAATAATAGGAATGTCTTTCTCCTCTGCCTGTAAGTAACATCTGGTTTGTGCTGATAAGACAGTGACCCCTCTAGGAGTGAGGTCAGAGACACATGACAAGCCTGGTTGCAGAGGAAGTGTCTCCTTTCAGCTGGTCACTGAGCGCAGCCCTTTCTAGTGCCTCACCTGTTCAGTCCTTCCATCTGCCTGGTACAGGGGTGCTGTGATGTGTAGGGAGGTGCTGGGGGTCAGCAGCATTTTCCAGCCCTCCTTCAGGCTGTGTCACCAACACTTGCACCCATGACCTCCATGCCATGGTGCTTCGAAGCATCTGTTCCTTCAGGAGAAAATAGCTTTGCACAGAATCATCAGCAGCCCTATACCTCCTTCCGTTTGGGACCTGGAGCTGGCATGAAGCAGACAGGGTTTTGATGCAGCATCCCCACCTGGAACAAGCGTTCAGAGCCTTGGCGTGTCCCACGTCTACCCCACAGGCTCTGCACAAGCTGTTTGCGCACGCTGTGCAGAGTGTGCAGGAACCTGTTGTGATAACTGTGGAAAACCCACTGCAGAAAGTGGAAATAAATGCGGACTGGGGGAGGTACTTGTCTCTGGCCACAGAGTAGGTGGAGTAGAACCCAGATCTGCGTAGATTCTGTCTAGCTTCAGAGCTCATGTTCATGGAGTTGGCCCATTTTGCCTTCAAGTTCATTCACTCAGCGAACACTTACTGAGTGTCCACCCCCAGCCAGTCCCCAGGAGGGAGCCCAGGGCCACCCTCATAGCCTGCTGTTTATTCAGATAGCATCTCTTAGTTAGTGCTGTAGGTGCCAGACAAGTCAGTTTTTCTATTTCCTCCTCTGGAAAGACTCTCCAAGTCTCCAGCCATTCCAGGTAGAAGAAAGAAGAAAACGTGATGAGCTGCAGGTGCCAGAGTTCCAGGCCTGCCCGCAGATGGCAGTACCTCAGAGCACCTGCCCAGGTAAAGCAGGATCAGGGAGGTGTGGGGTGGCCTGTGCGTCTGTATGTGCACATGTGTGTCTGGTGTGTGGCATGGGGGATGGTTGTATTGAATGCATGTGTGCGTGCACGCACATACGTGGTGTATGTGTGAGGTGTGGCATGTGCGGTGTAAATGTGCAGTGGTGAGAGCATGGAACAGTCGAGAACTGAACTCTTCAGGATCCCCGCTGACCGCTGCCGTGGTGTTCTGAGATGCTTGTTCTGATTCTGTTTTGCTGGGGTTGTTCCCCAGCTCACTTTCAATCCAGGCTCACCCTCCTTGCCTTTCCCAGGGGCTCGGGAGGGTGTGTCAAAGCAGGGTGCTGCTGTGGTGCTGTTGGTGATGTGGTGAGTGTTTTTCTTCTCTCAGCACGGATGGCCAGCATCCTGGCACAGGATCTTGGAATTGGGATTAAAGAGCTGGTTTCTGGTGTGCTGAAGCTTCACAGGACTCCTGGAAAGTGTATGTTCCATTCCTGCTTTCAGAGAAATGGCCACAGTGTAGACCGAGTCGTCTTGGTAAAGGTGGCCACCTCCAGAAGCAGAGGCTACAATGCTGCCGTCTCTTTCTTTCTTTCTTTCTTTTTTTTTTGAGACAGAGTCTTACTCTGTCACCGAAGCTGGAGTGCAGTGGTGCTATCTTGGCTTGCTGCAACCTCTGCCTCCCTGGTTTAAGCAATTCTCCTACCTCAGCCTCCCAAGTAGCTTGACTTACAGGCATGTGCTACCATGCCTGGCTCATTTTTTTGTTTCTTTTTAGTAGAGACTGGGGGGTTTCACTGTGCTGGTCAGGCTGGTTTGAACTCCTGACCTCGTGATCCACCCGCCTCAGCCTCCCAAAGTGCTGGGATTACAGGTGTGAGCCACTGCACCCAGCCCATAGGTTCTTCTGAATACCAAACCCAAATCTCTGATTCTTACCGAATCCATGTGTCATTGTAGTTTTCTGCAGCGATGGAGACTGACTACACACATGATCTGTTCTACCTGTGATGCTTTTGAAGGCAAGATTTGTGCCATTCCGACCCAGCTCCATGCGTCTTGTGCTTGGCCCCCTTTCCTGTGTGGACAAAGGGGATTTTCTAGTGTGGGAGATCTGAAAGGATGAGATCCTGCTCCGCAAGCATTGATGCCCACTCCCGGTTTTGCAAGAAGCCCACCTCTGCGTGCCAAGGGTGATGCATTCATGTGGGGTCCACTTGGAGTTCAGGTGTAAGCTGGATGTTTGTGATGCACTTTGAATCTTCTCCAGCTGCTTTCTGCTCATAGCGTGTCTCTCAGCCCCATTAACATCCTTTTAGAAGGTGGATGGGTGTTCGTTTACGCATAGGAGTTTTCAACACCATTCTTCTCTTGCTGGACTCTGACACAGACTATGAAACAGCCAAAAGCAAAGGGCTGCTCCTGAGAAGGGGGAGAGATGATGGATTTCAAAGAGTAGGCACTGTTTTAGCTCTTGCCAGCTCGCCTTCCTAAAAGGCTTTTCCCACCAGCTGATGCCCGGATAGCTGGTGACAGACCTGCTTCTTTATATCCATGCTCATGCGGGACACTCCCACATGTTCAATCTGTACCAATCAGACAATGCTACTGCATCCGCCACTGAGGTGGAGCATCTCTTCTTGTTTATTGTGTCCTCTCTGTTAATTTGCCTAGTTAGTATTCATTTATCCTTATTCGTTTATTTTCACACTTGTTTTTTTTTTAATGTTCCAAACATTGCACCAGGATTCAGTGATTTATTTACATGATTCTATGCATTGTAGCTTCATGGCATCTTCTGAGATGGGTACTATAATGTCTCTGTATTGAAGGTGGGGCACCCGAGAGCTCAAGTCATTTGTCCAGAGTCCAGTGCTCACAAGCCGTAGGTGGCGGAGTGAAGATTTGAACTCAGGCCGGCACAGTGGCTCATGCTTGTAATCCCAGCACTTAGGGAGGCCGATGTGGGCACATCACCTGAGGTTAGGAGTTTAAGACCAGCCTGGCCAACATGGCAAAACCCTGTCTCTACCAAAAATACAAAAATTAGCCAGACACGGTGGCACACACCTGTAGTCCCAGCTACTGAGGAGGCTCAGGCAGGAGAATCAACTTGAATCCGAGAGGTCAAAGCTGCAGAGATCATAACGCACTCCAGCCTCAGCGACAGAGTGAGACTCTGTCTCAAAAAAAAAAAAAAAAAAATGGCTGGACATGGTGGTTCACGCATGTAATGCCAGCACATTGGGAGGCTTAGGCAAGCAGCTTGCCTGAGGTCAGGAGTTCAAGACCAGTGTAGCCAACATGACGAAATCTCAACTCTACTAAAAAATACAAAAGTTAGCCAGATGTGGTGGTGGGCGCCTATAATCCCAGCTTCTCAGGAAGCTGAGGCAGGGAGAATTGCTTGAACCTAGGAGTCGGAGGTTGCAATGAGCCGAGAACTGAGGTCGCATCACTGCACTCCGGGGTGGGTGACAGTGAGACTCCTTAAAAGATTTGAACTCAGGCTGTCAGGCTTCAGACCCATGCCTTTTACTCCACATTACTAAATCACAGTTTGCTTTTTCTGTGGATTCTTAGAAACTGAAAATAATGGGTCTGAATCCCTTGCCCCTGCTGCATTTATACATAGTTTCTTCCATTTCCCTAAACTTTGTCTCTTGCAACATATAAATGTTTTGTTTTTTTAAAGATGGGGTCTCTGTGTTGCCCAGGCTGGTCTTGAACTCTTGGCCTCAAGCAGTCTTCCTGCTTTGGCTTCCCAAGTAGCTGAGGAGACTGTGGGCATGTGCCATCATGCCTGGCTTAAGTGTTTTCTTATAGTTTTTAAATGTAGATAAACTTATTTGTCATCTTTTTGGTTTTATGTCTTGCTTAAGAAAGCTTCTCCATTCTAACTTTACAAGAATATGTAATAGTTTTTAATGACGCCTTTATCGTTCTGGTTTTTCACATCCAGCTTCCCAGCCTCCCTTGCTTTTCCCCTCAACCCCCTCAGCTCACAGGAAGTCATTCATTCCCGGCCCACAGAGCATCCTTGTGGAGGTGTCAGTCGCGGACTCACCTGCATGCTGGATGCCTCTGCCACTCTGCCTGCAGCAAACATTTGCAGCAGCCTGGCCGTTTGCTTGCTGTGTGGCGACAAGCCCTGGTCCCCATCTCCATTGGGCTCAATTCTGCTGAAACCTTGGGCAATTTCACTTCTCTGTCTTAAATTTTTGATTTGTAAAACAGAGATAATAGTTATAGCTGCCTTGTAGAGTTATTGTTAAGGATTAAATGGTTTAATGCACATACTGGCACTTAGACCAATAGCTTTTTTTTTTTTTTTTTTTTTTTTTTTTTTTTTTTTTTTTCAGACAGAATCTTGCTTTGTCACCCAGGCTGGAGTACAGTGGTGCCATCTTGGCTCACTGTGACTTCCACTTCCCGGTTCAAGCAATTCTCCTACCTCAACCTCCTGAGTAGCTGGGATTACAGGCGTGTGCCACCATGCCTGGCTAATTTTTGTGGGGTTTTTTTGTTGGGTTTTTTTTTGGAGACAGAGTCTCCCTCTGTTGTCAGGCGCCATGCTGGAGTGCAGTGGCACTATCTCGGCTCACTGCAACCTCCGCCTCCTGGGTTCAAGCAATTCTTCTGCCTCAGCCTCCCAAGTAGCTGGGATTACAGGCACACGCCACCACGCCCAGCTAATTTTTTTATTTTTAGTAGAGATGGGGTTTCACCGTGTTGGCCAGGATGGTCTCGATCTCTTGACCTCGTGATCTGCCTGCCTTGACCTCCCAAAGTGCTGGGATTACAGGCTTGAGCCACCACGCCCGGCCAATTTTTATGTTTTTAGTAAAGACAGTGTTCCACCATGTTGGCCAGGCTGGTCTCAAACTCCTGACTTCAAGTGATCCACCCACCTCGACCTCCCACAGTGCTGGGATTATAGGTGTGAGCGACTGTGCCGGCCTAATAGCTCTTTTCTGTCTTCCCTAACCTTATCCTGATAGCTAATTCAGGGACAACACCCCCCACCTGTGGGTAACACCCCCCTCCCCATGGGCACCGAGGAAGGAGAACTCTCCAGACCCCAGGCACAACCAGTGCCTGAAGAATATCTTAGTTCCTAGTGTCATTGCTCAGCTGTTTCCTTTATATAATTGTTCCTATATAATCATAGATTAGTTTATAGAATTAGTGCTTGAAGTGTAACTTATTGCTTAACATATATCTAGCATACTTAGTTCTATATAATCTTTCTATATGATCATATAGGTATTATAGTCGGAGCTGTACTGACACATTTAGTGCTGATTTATAGAATCCTTCCATACAACCATATAGTAGTTTGTAGTAGGAAGAATTCCTAGAGCAGTCACAGAACAGAAGCAGCACATGGGAAAACAGCCAGACCAGGACAAGAACCAAAGACCCAGGCAGTGGTGGCCCTGCCTGAAAGGGCATATGCTGTATGGCAGGCTTGGAGCAAGAGCACCTTGCATCCAGTTCCTGTGGAAAGTCGGCCTCAAGCCTGAGATCCTGGAAGTAACTGAGGGAGAAGAACCCCTCTGGTGTGTCCAGTCACGGAGGCTGTACACCCTGTCAGTCTTTTCTCGCTTCTGTGCTAGCTCAAATCATCCTCCCATAAATATCTTAAGAGCACAAGTCTGTCAGCTCCCGCTGCATTAAGCTTACAGTATCCTATTAGAAACCCTTTGAAGTCTCCAGCCCCCAGGTAAGAAGTGTCGCACACGACACCTGCTGCACACAGCCCACCTCCTTGCCTCGGTGACCTAATGGGGGTGGACCCCTTTTCTGTACACAACCCTCTACTACTGCGCACGGCACAGCTCCGGCTGCGAACGGCCCACCTCTCTGCCCAGGTGACATAATGGGGTGGCCCCCTCGACTCGAGTGATTATATATGCCCTATTACTAAGCCTGTAGATGATGACCTCACTCACGACCCTGCCCCCTGCTTGTACCTAATAAATACAGATGCTCTTGGGCATTGGGGGGCCGCCGCTGAGCTCCACTCACAGGTGGTGTGACCCCCCGAATCCAGGAATCCAGGTGCTCTTCACCAGTTCTTCAGTGTCCTGTCTCTTTACCTCTTGGATCCTGTCCCTCAACACAGCATAAGGGACACCCCACGACCCTGTGGGGCCCCCACAGCCCTACGCCCACCCATCATCACCATCTTATACACACACACACACACCCCCTTTTGTTTTTATTGCTGAACTGAGAACTCTTTGATGGTGCTTATCCTCTGGTATTTTGGGCAGGCTTCTAACAGTCTCATCTACTTTCCATCTTCAAGGAATTTTCTTCATATTGTGTTGATAGTACATAATAAGACTATCATTGATTTATTTCCCCTTTTGTAGAAATTATGCATGGCGTTTTGGTCATTTTAGCTGACTGGAGGTGATGTCTGCTATATTCTGTATTACTCTGTCAGGCCTTTCGTAATAAGTATGACAGACTGGGTGGCTCAAATAACAGGATTTTATTTTCTCACTATTTTGGAGGCAGCTAATAGAAGATGAAGGTGTCAGCAGAGTTGGTTTCTTCTGAGGCCTCTCTCCTAGGCTTGGAGATGGCCGCCGCCTTGCTGTGTACTCACGTGGTCTAAGCTCTGCATTTGTCTTGTCTTGATCTTCTCGTATTAGAACACCAGTCACATGGAACTGTGTGGAGCCCACCCTCCCGGATGTCCTCATGTTGACCTAATTACTTCTTGAAATAGCCTGTCTTCAAATACAGTCACATTCTGAGGTCCTTAGGGCTAAGACTTCAATGGGAAATTTTGGGAGAACACAATTCATCCTGTAAGACCTCACCCTTGGAACCTTCAAAATTCATGTCCTTCCCACATGCAAAATCCATTCACCTCATCCCAGCAGCCCCCAAATTCTCAATCTATTTCAGCATCAAATGTAAGTCCAAAATATTATCTAAATATCAGCATCTCAATTGGGTATGGGTGAGACTCAAAGTATGATTCATCCTGAGGCAAAATCCTTTCTAGCTATGCACCTATGAAACCAGATATTTTCTGCTTCCAAAATACAACTATGAGAAAAGCATAAGATAGACCATTCTCATTCTAGAAGAGAGAAATCCAAGGGTATTGGGTCCCAAGTAAGTCTTAAATCTAGCAGGTCAGGGCTAGGTGTGATGGCTTACACCTGTAGTCCCAGCACTTTGGGAGACAGGTGGGTGGATTGCCTGAGATGGGTGGATCACTTGAGCCCAGGAGTTTGAAACCAGCCTGGGCAACATAGTACGACCCCACCTCTATGAAAAAATTTTTAAACACACACACAGAGTCTCTGTTATCTGGGCAACATAGTGCCACCCCATCTCTACAAAAAAAATGTTAAACACACACACACACACACACAATCTCTGTCATCTGGTGCTTTCCCTCCTGTAGCACACGGGTTCTTGGCAGACTCAGTACCCACTCCCAGACTCACATTCCCCTGACTCCCTTATGACTGATTTGACAAATGGCCCCACTGCTTCCACTACTGCTCATCTCTGATCTCCCTAGTCTGTGTGTCTTCTGCCCTGCTTCTGTGTGTCCAGCTTATCCTGTCCTGAGCTTCTCTGACCCGCCAGGGCTCTCCTCCCCACAGCCATGAAGCCCTGACCAACCACATTCCTGCTAATATCTAGGAGGGCCTGGCACCACTAACCCTGACCTCTAGATTTGTGTTCCACATTTCACAGAAGTGAGGACACAGGCCACCTGTATGATGGGCTCTGCCCTGTAGGCCAGGATCTTAGGCTGGGCTCTGCACTGCCCACCCGGCCCCTCCCTATGGTTCTCTGTTCTCAACATCACAGACTCAGGATGCTCAATGCTTCAGTCTAGGTTAGGAAGTCCAGAGCATGTTTGCCCATCACCACCTGTGGCCTCAGAAATGCGGTGCTACTGAGAGGGGGAAGCTGGACCCTGGGCAGTCTGGGACTGTTGAGCAGCCTAGCGAGGCTGAGTGGCACTTCAGCCCTCCTTCCTGGGACAGATCATCTTAGTTTATGTGTAGATGCGGCAACCAGTAGGTCATCAGCTTGCGTCCAGGGGCATCTAGGGCTGTGCATGTCAGAAGTTTGGCACAGGCCCTGGAGCATGCAGGCGCCAGCACATGACATCGGCACCTTCCTGGAACCGCATGTGCAGGATTCAGGGTCTTCCTGTCTCCCAGGTCCTGGCTATATCCCGATGGACTTTCCCACATGCCTCGTTAGATAAGTGATCTGTAAATGGTCAGGCTTTACACAGATAGAGACTCCGAGCTTGGGGGATGAGGTGGTCTTGGTGGTTAGAGAAGAAAAGGGTTGGGTGTGGGAGGTAAGGGAAAATGGCTGGGAAGAGGGCGAGCAGGGAAGAAGGCACCCAGCATGCTCTGGACACCACGTGGCCCATGCTGAAGATTTCCTCACAGGCTACACCAATGGCCCCTGGAGGGCTGGCCGGGCCACCCCTGTCACCGAGGAACGTTGTAAAAATGTGGGTTTGCAAGCTCAAGCCGAGGCTTCCGGCGCGCGGTCGGCGGGGCTGGGGTGTGGCCTACACAGCACCACTGACCTGCGTGTTGCGTTCCTGCAGCTGGCGGCAACCCACGGTCTCTAGAGAACAGCCCGGACCCAGAGGTGACCATCGAGATCGTTCTCTCCAGCTCCGGGGACGAGGACTCCCAGCCCGGCCCGTACTGCGCAGAGGAGCCGAGGAGCCCCCCCGAGAAGCGGCACAGCCTCCCCGCCTCCCACCGGAGCAGCGCGGAGGCCGGGGGCGAGGTGCAGAGCTCCGGGAAGTCCTACGTGTGTCCGAACTGCGGGAAGATCTTCCGCTGGAGGGTCAACTTCATCCGGCACCTGCGGAGCCGCAGGGAGCGGGAGAAGCCGCACGAGTGCTCGGTGTGCGGAGAGCTGTTCAGTGACAGCGAGGACCTGGACGGGCACCTGGAGAGCCACGCGGCCCAGAAGCCGCACCGCTGCGGCGCCTGCGGGAAGAGCTTCCGCCTCAACGCGCACCTGCTCTCCCACCGGCGGATACACCTGCAGCCGGACAGACTCCAGCCGGTGAAGAAGAGGGAGCAGGCGGCGTCCGAGGACGTGGACGAGGGTCCCAACGGCCCGCTGGAAAACGGCCAGGCCAAGCTGAGCTTCCAGTGCTGTGACTGTGGGAAGGCCTTCCAGCGGCACGACCACCTGGCTCGGCACCGCAGCCACTTCCACCTGAAGGACAAAGCCCGGCCCTTTCAGTGCCGGTACTGCGTCAAGAGCTTCACGCAGAACTATGACCTCCTGCGCCACGAGCGCCTGCACATGAAGCGCCGCTCCAAGCAGGCTCTGAACTCCTACTGAGCCTGCCCGCGTGCTGCGGCCTCACCCTGGGCGGCGCTGCCCACTCACACTGGTACTGATCAGCATCCCCGCCCAGGACACACCATCCCCAGCATAGAGGGCACACCTCCCTCCTCCTGTCCTTTGCTCTCAGGTAGTGTCCAGCGTTCAGGTGGCGCCATGGTAGCACTCTCCCTCCCCCAGGTAATGAGAGTGGGCAAGTGAGTGTTCTCTTTCTGCTGTGCCAAAAACCGGGCATGTGCCACCACCAGGTTGGATATGCCAGGTGTTCTGTGTCTTAGAGACCCTTGCCCATGCTCCCCAAGCTCGGGGAGTCAAACTGGGCTCCCTCGTCGGGGCAGCGCCCTGGTCACCAACCAAACCTCAGTATCCTCCCTCCCTCCCTTCCCTGTCTGAATGCTGGGATCTGCTGCTGAAGCTCCAGGGTGCCTGCCCTTCCACTCAGAAGCTGCTGGAGGGTGTTGGACTGGAGGGAGCAGGAAGGCAGTGTGGGAATGATGGGCTCAGTGGGGAGCAGGGCCAGGCAGAGGGAGCACACCTCCGGCCTGTCTGAGCCCCAGGTCTGTGGCCATCAGGTGGGCAGGAGCACCCCGCAGATCCAAGATTGATCAGACAGCCCTTTTGGGTTTGGAGTGTGAGGCAGGGGTCTGCAGAGCTCCTCCTTGAGTTCACAGTCATCATACCTTTTAATTTGTCCCAGGGACCAGTTACTAGGGATCTGGAGCACACCAAAAACAAAGCTTACATTTTAATTGTTGTTACACACGTACCCCACGATGTCTTTGTACCCTAAAGATGCTTGGCAAATGCCTGTGGGTTGGAAGCTGAGGCATCATCATTTAAAAGGCACTTAAGTCCCTTCCAGTCTGTACTGCCTAAGAACGTGGAGCTTAGCCCCCGGTGAGGGGTTCTCCTGTCGGGGTGAGCCAAGCTCCGGAACAGGACCTTCCCTGGCATCACACTTTACGTACGCATTAGCTTGGACTGCCGGTGTCAGTTTTCTCGGTATGTTTTAACACTGGCTGGTTTAGAACAACAGGAATGGATTCCCTCACGGTTCCGGGAGCTGCAAGTCCAAGATGACGCCTTCCGAGGGCTGTGAGGGAGAAGCGGCTTCGTGCTGTTGCCGTTCCTTGGTGTGTGGAAGCGTCACAGTCTCTGCCTTCATCTCCACGTGGCACTCTTGCCGTGTGCGACACCAGTCCTGTCGGATTAGAGCCCATCCCACCGACTCCAGTATAACCTCATCTATGGCCACAGCAACCGTTCACCAGTAAGGTCACATTCTGAGGTGCTAGAGATTGGGACTTCAACACTGGAATTGGAAAGGGACAGAATTCAGCCCACGACTCCAGGTAAACGTGAGGTATGCTGTCATTCCTAATTCACAGATGAGTCAGTACAGTCGAGCGAGCTTGCTCACAGCTCCATCGAAGGCAGGGTTCAGACCCAGGTGTTGGCATTCAGCACGGGTGTCCTCTGCATGGAAGAATCTTACTCAGTAGCCTTAAAGGCTGACAAATTCCCCTCCCTCCCTGCCTCCTGATTGGGGCCGGGCAGGCCAGCTGGAGCTTTGTCTTCACCTGGGGTTCTGGACTGAGGGTGACAGTAGGTAGTGAGACCTCAAGCAATTTAGAACATGGTATTCCTGAAAACCTGCTTATGTTGGCTAGGGTCAGCATGAGAGGGCATCAAGCCTGTAGTGTGGCAGTGGTGTAAACTGCAAGTGAGACCAGACTAGTATTTTGTACTATTTATATGTCAGATCCTACCAACAGGCAGTAAGCCAGGCAAAGCTCCTGGTGCTCCTTGTCACGTAATTTTCTCATCAAGAAGCCTCTGGGCCAGGCAGAGAGGCCTGTAATCCCAGCACTTTGGGAAGCCAAGGTGGGTGGGTCACCTAGCTCAGATAACACTAGCCTGGGCGACATGGCAAACTCTCATCTCTACCAAAAACACAGAAAATGAGCTGGGTGTGGTGGTGCACGTTTGCAGTCCCAGCTACTCTGGAGGCTGAGGTGGGAGGATTGCTTCGCTCTGGGAGGCAGAGGTTGCAGTAAGTCAAGATCACACCACCGAACAACAACCTGGGTGACAGAGTGAGACCTGACTCAAAAACAATCAAAAAGCCTCAGCCCCACACTCATGACAAGATTCTGTAACCACAACTACTGTTACTGTGTGGATGCACAGGAACAGTAAATGCAATAAAACCATTTGGTTATGCTTTGAACAAGAAATAAGCCGTTGAGGCTTTTAGTTTCTAAATAGTTTGTCTCTTGTATCAACCTATCTGGACAAGGGAGAAATTGGATTTTTAAGGCCAACGGAGGGGAAAATTCCGAGTGGAAGCCAGGCTCTGTGGGTTCACATTTACCCCACCTACCTGTGTGATCCTACCTCTCCTGAGGATTCTCTCAGTAGCTCTGAGGCCTTGGGAAGGTTATTCACCTTCCTGCTGCAGACATCTGACACAGAGGAACATTGTTCTACTTACCCATGTGTTTTATGTGTGAAACCACATCATGAACGAGAAAGCGACAAAGGGAGTGTGAGGGAACAGAAGCCACAGGGAGGGAGGCGCTCTCGCGTTCCTGCCACCGATCCAGAGCCGGCCAAGGCACCTCAGGAGATGGAAGGCCATGTCGCCTCTGGGTTTGGAACTTCCCCTGGGAAACGTAGCTGAAACCCAGGTTTATCCCAAGCAGCAGGAACAGCTAGGGGCTACCTGCTCTGAGCAGAGGTCTGACAACCCTCCAGCCCAACCAGCACCTTCCATCACAGTGGTGTAGGGGCTGCACCCAGGTGATCTTTGTCTCCCTTTTGGCCACTGATACTTCCAGCCTCAGCTGAGAACAGCTGCCCCTCAGTTCCTCCCTCCCACCCCAGGGGCTGGGCAGCTGTCTGGAGCTATGTCTCCACCTTGCTCTGGAGGTTGAGACCCTGTCTGAGCAACCTCCTCCCTCTTCGTTCCTCTGATCCCTTGGCATTGCCACAAACCCACAGGTGCATAATAAAAACTCACTCTCTGAATAAATATTCGTGTTAGGCTTTTCATTTAAAAGTAAAAGGTGGCCAGCCATGGTGGCTCATTCCTGTAATCCCAGCACTTTGTGAGGCCAAGACAAGGATTGCTCGAGCTCAGGAGTTTGAGACCAGCCTGAGCAACATAGTGAGACCCCATCTGTATGGAAAAATAATAGAAAAATTAGGTTGCTGTGGTGGCACAGTCCTGTAGCTACTTGGGAGGCTGAGGCAGGGGAGGATCCCTTGAACTCGGAGGCAGAGGTTGCCGTGAACGGTGGAGCGCCACTGCACTCCAGCCTGGGCAACAGAGCAAGGCCCCACCTCTAAAAAAGGTAAAATGTGAAGCACAGCCAAATGGTGAAAATCTGATGTTTTCTAGGACGTCACCCGCTATGTCCGCTCCCCGAAAGAAAGAATAAATGTGTTTCATACACGGGGTAGATTGTACTCCTGGTCACACCACAGCTTTAACCTGACATTAGCCATTGTTCCGTTTTCTCTATCTCCCCAGCTCTTGCCTCAGAAGAAGCAAAAGTCGAGGCCACTGGTGGGAGGGTCCCTATCAGTCCTAAATCATACTGTGGCACAAAGGAAAGAAAAGGCAGAGATCTTGTCCAAGTCACTCTTCTGTGAGATGGTTTCCCTTCCTCTGCCAAAAGCAGAGTTTGGACCAGACACGAGTACTTCTGCTAGCAGAGTTATGTCGGCGGTTCGGTGATGATTATAGCACTTCAGAAATTCCATCACACAAGCTCATTTTTTTCCTGAGAGGCGGGGGTCTCACTATTTTGTGCAGACTGGTCCTAAACTGAGTTCCTCTCACCACGGCCTCCCAAAGTGATGGGACTATAAGTGTGAGCCACCACACCCAGCCTCCAGACACTCTTAATATTAGCGACAAACACTGATCCTGTTTGGTCTTAAAAGTGATGGTCGGTGCCCACTGCTATTCCATGCAACAAGGCTAGAGGTTAGAAAACTTGCTTAGGGCACAGTGGCCACAGGAAAAGGGGTGTGGAGGGGACCCCTGAAAGACCAGGTACCTCCAGCAGCCCAGGCCCATATAGAGGGCAGCCAGCAGAATGTCAGTAGCCCAGCACCTGGGGAAGGGTCGGGAGGGATCGGGAACTCATCAAGGGCAAAGCCCACGGGGTCCATTTATACCTGTTTTGCCCGTCAAATACCAGTTGGGAACTATCTTCTCTTGAAACCATAGCCTATAACCAGGTCACCATGATTAATGTCCATGTAATCACCGAAGTACAGAGAAGCCATAGAAATTCCCTGTGAGCAGATGCAAAATTATTAAGAATGTGTGGGAAAGCAGATTCCTCGGGAATCCCACTGACCAAGTGGGATTACCTCACACATTTTGGCCACAGCCAGGAATCTCACAGGCAGGCTGATAACTGTGACAAAGGGCTGTCTTCTCATCACACAATCAAATGGCAGAAGAACCACCCTTTCCCCATCACCTGCTTTAAAAAAATGCCTTGCTGTTTGCGTCTATCTGGGCCCATTTTACTGGTTTTGCTACACCTTGTCAAAACATGGTGAGGTTGGATACCTGCTGTTTTGTACTTTTTTATGTGATCAGTCAAGTGTAGCCACAAGAGAAGACAAAGGAGAGTCTTAGGAAAGGACAAAGTTTATTCTGCTTACAGGTCCTGGAGACAGGAGGCCCAGGAGGCCGTGCAGGGCCACACAGGAAAGACCAGGTGGCAGGAGGCAGAAGACACGAGCCAGAAGGTTTGGGCCACTGTCTTTTTGGGGTTTCCTTGGACAGAGTCAAGGCAGGGCAAAGTGAATAGTTTAGGATTGACTAGTTTGGAAAATTTCTGTGGGCTTTGGGTTACAGAGATGGTTCCTAATTGCCTGGCACCAGACTCGGGGATGTGTAAGGCAGAGGAACGTTGCCTCCCAGGGTGTCAGGTCAGATACTGGAGGTTTGGGTCTGGAGGGGTTAGTTCGCATATCAAAGGCACGCTCCTTGCTGGGCAAGAATTCACTGGCACAGAAACCTCAGATAAGATAAGGAGGCCTGAGGACTAAACTCTGACCGGTGTTGTCTTAAATTTCCTCCTGAGGGACTGGGAGGAAGTCATTCCCAAGGGCCAGACCTAACATTCTCTTCCACTGGCCCCGAATTTTAAACCAAGCTGCTCTTCTGTAACCATTACAAATCAGAAAATCTGTGAATTCTTCCTATGACCTGTAAGCCTCCGCTTCAAAGTATCCCGCCCTTTTGAGGCTAAACCAAGATATCATTTCAATGTATTGATTCACGAATTTGCCTGTAATTTCTGCTTTCCTAAAATTTACCCCTGCCTTTATGTTTCTCCTTTTTTTTCTTTTCTTTTTTAAATGACGAGTCAAATGCAGTAGTGAGAAGCGGGGAATGATAGAACAAGGCATTTGATGTGTAACTGACTGTGAGCAGTCGAGGTAACTCATTACCTTTGCACCAGCCGCCTCGCCTTTAAAAACCCTTACTTGCAAGCCACTGTGGAAGACAGATACTCAGTGTGAGCTGCCTGATTCTCCTTGCTTGGCATCCTGCAAATAAACACCTTCCTTTCTCCTGACATAAACCTCAGTGTGGATATTTGGCCTGACTGCGCTGGACGAGTGGATCCCAGTTAGATTCAGTAACAGCCAGGTGTGCAGTGTCGGGGCTCCGAGATGGTAAGTGCATTACAGCTGAGAAGAGGTCAGGTGATTTCCAGTGCATTCCTTTCTCACCGCTCTCTCCGCTGCCGACCACCAAGGGCAGAGACCTCTTTGACTGTGTCTTGGACAACCTGCTCCTGCAAAATGAGAGTTTGATGTGTATTGGACAGAGCTGCACCCCATCACTTCTGCCCTCCCTAAGGAAACAGAACTTCCATCCAAGTGGGTGCTTGGAAACCAGCATGTTCAGGTGCTGGGGAGAGCTCCCACTGCCCAGACGCCAGTCTCTGGTATCAGCTAGGTATCCTGCAAACACCCTTTTTCCAAATAAGGTCACATCACAGGTCCCAGGGGAAAGATCTTCATGGGGGGCCCCATTCAGACCACTACTGTTCTGTTTTTTTTTTTTTTTTTTTTTTTTTTTTTGAAGTTTCGCTCTTGTTACCCAGGCTGGAGTGCAATGGCGCGATCTCGGCTCACCGCAACCTCCCAACCTCCGCCTCCTGGGTTCAGGCAATTCTCCTGCCTCGGCCTCCTGAGTAGCTGGGATTACAGGCACGCGCCACCATGCCCAGCTAATTTTTTGTATTTTTAGTAGAGATGAGGTTTCACCATGTTGACCAGGATGGTCTCGATCTCCCGACCTCGTGATCCACCTGCCTCTGCCTCCCAAAGTGCTGGGATTACAGGCTTGAGCCACCGCGCCTGGCAGCACTACTGTTCTTTTAAGGGAGGATTTAAATCTCAAAATCATGTTCTTCCAGCTTTGGCAGGAAACCAAAGCTGCCTTCCATGTTCTGGTTTCCACAGTAAAGTGACACCCCCTCAGGAAATAGTTATCTTCACGTAACCAACTCAAGTTCAGCTGCTCACAAGAAGCAAGGTGCGGTAAAAGGAAAGCAGCTTTATTGGTGAAATGCTAGCAGATGGGAAATGCCAAGGCCTTAAAGAAACCGTTTCCAAAGTTTGGGCTGAGGAAGGGGCTTAAAGAAGGGAAGCCTGATGTGAAAGGCATGCTGGAGTCGTGCAGGGAGCAGGGCTGTGTCTTGCTGTGATGCCTACCTTGAGCACAGGCTGGCACCGTCTTCACAGCTGCCATGGCCATGTAACTGAGCAGCTTAGCAGCCAAGCCTCAAACCACGTCTTAAAACTCTTTTTTCCTTTTTCCTTTTCCTCCTCAAACCCCCTAGTCTCAAGCTATAATAACTTCATTTTATTTATTTATTTATTTATGAGACCGAATCTTGCCCTATGCCCCAGACTGGAGTGCAGTGGCACAATCTGAGCTCACTGCAGCCTCCGCCTCCTGGGTTCAAGCAATTCTCATACCTCAGCCTCCCTGGTAGCTGGGATTACAGACATATGCCACCATGCCCAGCTAATTTTTGTATTTTTTAGTAGAGATGGGGTTTTGCTATGTTGGCCAGGCTGGTCTCGAACTCCTGACCTCAAGTATCTGCCCACCTCAGCCTCACAAAGTGCTGGGATTACAGGCGTGAGCCATGATGCTGGGCCAACTCATTATTTTGGCTTCTTTCCACAAGCGGTGAGCAGCCAGAGCCTTTTTACACTGCTTACAATCAGGCAACAGATTATCCATCTTGAGGCAATCTGTAAGTCGGGGAGAATTTCACAGCTGGACCTGCATGCCTGGTGTGTTTTAATCCCTGGGATTTTTTAACAAGCATATGGTTAGATAAAGGTGCATGGGGTAAAGAAGTATACAGTGCAAAAGGGAAGGGGCTGGAGTTTCAGAGTGCATTTCAAGGCTATATTTTAAGACTAAGGAAAAAGGTTTTTAGTTTGTTTCAAGGTTATATCTTGAGACTGGAAAGAAAGGAGGGAAGAAAAACGTTTTAAAATGTATTTTGAAACTCAACTACTAGCTCACATTCAGTAAAAGTCTTGAGTGTTACTGGGTGTGGTGGCTCCTGCCTGTAATCTCAGCACTTTGGGAGGCCGAGGCAGGCGAATCCCTTGAGCACAGGAATTTGAGACCAGCCCGGGCAACATGGCAAAACCCTGTTTCCACAAAAAATACAAAAATCAACCAGGCGTGGTGGCGTGCACCTGTGGTTCCAGCTACTCGGGAGGCTCGGGCAGGAGGCTAGCCGGAGCCAGGGAGGTCAAGGCTGCAGGGAACCTCGATGATGCCACTGTACTCCAGCCTGTGTGACAGTAAGACCTTGTCTAAAAACAAAAAGGAACCCAGAGTGCTAAAGCTGAAAGAGCCACGATCAGTTGCCCAGAGCCGTCCTTTGGCCACTGAGGACAACTTGGTTAAATGTTTTCTCCGAGGTCACAGGCAGGCTTTGGGCTGTACCCAGTT